GAGTTGATACTCTCTGTTTTACTGTTCTTTTTTTTAGGTCTTTTAGTGTAACAGACTAAAAATTTCTTAAATAAACGTTTAATACCACCTTTTATTCATAAACCAGTGGATGTTTGTTTGTTCTAAATAGAGTTGTGAAACAGATCATAAATGGGAAAACAACCGTCTACTGTCTCCAGCTTGCAAAAGACACTTTCAGAAGTGTTCCAAAAGTGTGTGACAACGACCATAAAACCGGGTAAGCGGAGGGTACGTCTAAGGAGATCTCTCACTGACAAACCCCGACAGCGACCCGTTGTGCCTGAAAGTTGAGGGAGGTTTCTAAAAGATACCCCAACTCCTAGACCCTCTGACCGATCGGTGAGGTCCTGGAACTGTTACGAAGAATCTCGGTGAGAAGGCAACGCGGCCCGCCAAACAACCTAGTAACAGTACGACTTTCTGGGTCGGTGCAAAGTAGGAGTTACGGGACCGACTACACCTTTCCTCCAACAGTGAGTTTTAAAGTGCTATGTACAGGGGTAAGTAAGAAGGAAATGTGGCACTAGTCATCAGGACCAGGGAAACGTCTTTTTGTCGGGTTTCGTACTACAAAAGGTGGGGTACAAATGTCATCCATACCACACACAGAAACCTACGTTGAGTTGTAAGAAAGAAGAGGTATGTGCAGATCTAAACTCAAAAATGGTTTTTTCAAGATTAAAACCAAAGTAAGACTGGTATAACTGTAAGAGGGTTAGGAGAAGACCGTAGTAGATTTACGGAGAGTTCGTTTGAAGTCTGCCCCGGACCTGTACATGACCGAATCCGTCCCCCTGTGCAGACCGTGACGTCCTAAACTCAGGGACCGCCGCATCACACATGACTACCATCGGAAACAATGAAACCAGGGGTCGAGAGACGTCCAGTAACTGATCCAGGGGGACACACCAAGACCCTAAAACGAGTGGCAAGAACACTAGTAAACTGGGGTTGTCCCCACTCTAGACGCACCTCCGGGGTCTAGCTACCCTCTACCTAGTCACCAGACATCACAGAAGGTACAAAGATTATTAACGAGGGTGTCAACTAAAGGAGTGTGGGCGTTGACGAATGGAATAACGTCTGAGTCAAGAAGGGTCGGACCACGTTCCAGATGTTAAAACAAAGACACAGGAACTGTCGAGAAACCAGAACCGGTATCACCTCAAATCTCACACTGACAAAAATACCAACACCTGTCACAGAAATATGACTATTGCTCGCAAGTTTGTCCCGGTAATTAACTGTCAATTTGTTCACCTCCTGTCTGCCTCCGAGAATTTCTTCTTCAATGTCCAC